ACACTCAGACCTCTCCACCATCACACCGACTCGGCAAGAAAGCGAAGTGTCATCCTTTCATTCCGCTACCTCAGACTTTGGTGCTGATAGTCCCGCTTTTGAACGGAGCGACACTGGAGTCCAGACGCCCGAGAGCTCAGTCGGACACGTCAAGCAAGCCAGCTTCGATAGAAAGAGCAGCACCTCATCTCTGAACAGTCGCAAAGGCAAACAAAGCCGAGCCAACTTTCGGGAAGCTGCGTCAGCCTTCAGAATTTTGACTGGAAATTTTGCTTCCACGTCAGATTTGAAGACCGCAGCAAACGCACTCGGTCAACTCTCCCCGCCCAACAGTCCTACTCACAAGCAGCCAGGCGGCGCTAGTGACGCTAGACGTCTATCTTGGTTCAGAAAGAGCCCATCAGGCGCTGTAGTTCCCCCATCTCCACCTCCAGACCGACCACTACCAGCCATACCCAAAAAGGAAAGTCTTTCTTCACGGTCTGCGGCGCGAAGGGTAAGGCTGCTCGACGGCAAGGAACCCGACAGTGCAATGTCCGGCTATCAAGCATCGAGCGATGCCGAATACGGTGGTTTGTCGCAGGTAGATGGCCATAGGACACCACCCGAAGCGGGTGCAAACAGGTGCGCGCTTCACGATCACAGATACTCCTCGTGGCTGTGAGATCTTAGGACTCGCTAACACGCCTCTTTCCGTTCGCCGGCACGCCGTTCAAAGTGTGCCCCTTCATTTGAAGCAGCGCGCAAGCTCGCCCAGATCTGCTCGTACCTTCGGCGGCGCCGAAGGTAAGCTTCGGAGCTCTAGTATGGCGCGGGCAACGTCCGATGGCTCTGCGCAATCTCAGCCTCCCAACGACGGGTTCCATGAGCGCGAATTTGCAGAAGAGGAGGAAGACTGGGAGGCTTACGATGACTCGGACGATGATGGGACTGCTCTTCCTCATGTCCGAGCAGCCCCGCTTCCTACACACCCTCCTTCTCAGGAACCTGCTCAATCGCGTCGATCTGCACGGGAAGGATCGCACGCAGCCTCCTCCGATGCCGACGATAGACTTCAGGATCAGCTCGGTGATCCTTCAAAGCCTCCCGCCCACGGTAAAAATGGCGTCCATGTTGGCCTCTCTGAAGGCGATCTGCCCCCTCGACGCATCATCGGAGGCCTTGGTGCAGTAACACGTGATGCCGTGCCAGGCGCTTTCCCAATGGCTCGAAGTGTCAGCACTGAGCACGGTAGCGCCGCTAGTCTCAATCGCTATGACGACCGCAGAGAGACATTCTACCGGCTAGCTGGTGCGCGCAGCAACCTGAACAGTTGGGCACCTTCTGCTGAGCCCCTTCGCGGTGGTATGCCCGAAATTTCCAATCTTCCCAATTGGTCCACCATTCGCAGCGGGGAGCGAACTTCGCAGCCGATCAGCAACGTGCAGCGCGACATGGACTGGTCGATGCGCAAGCTTATCAATGAAGACGTCTTCAAGCGCTTGCTGGATGACCCGCTCGGTCGTCATCGATTCCGTGAATGGCTCGTGCACAACCGCGGTACCGAGGCGAGGCTGGATATGCTCTACGATACCATGCAGGTGCGTTGATCTTTGATCACCAAAAGTAGAGGTACGAATTTTATCTGACGCGCTGCTTGCTTCTACGGTGCCGCCAGTTCGACAAGCAAATGGTGGACGTCCGAACAACGTCGGAAGCGCTCTTCGACATCTACTTGGCCGAAGACTCACCTATGCACGTGGCACTGCCTCAAGAGCTGGGAGACCAATACTTTGACACCTTGCGCAAGCAATTCGAGCTCAAAGCAAGTCTTGACCAGACTGCCCAGCATTTGCTATCTTCGTTGTACAAGACAGAGTTCCAAAGCTTCGTGAAAGCGCAGCTCATTGAACACAACAAGGTCAAGCTAGGCCGCTTCGACAACAATGAGCGTACTGGGCTAGGCGATTGGTGAGCGCAAAGCCGATCTGGTCTGCCCCTTGTCGAAGTCTGCTCATCCACAAGCCCCGGTGCCCCTGCAGCTACTGCCTGACCAACCCCAGGCTTCGCGAAAATCCGATCGTGCTCGTTTCTCCAGGTTTCACCGACCTGACAGGGTACCCGCCGGGCGCCATCATTGGACGCAATTGCCGCTTCTTGCAAGGTCCAGGCACAGCTCCGGAGTCCATACAGCGCGTTCGCGACGCCTTGAACGCTGGCGAGCCTTGCACTGAGCTGCTACTCAACTATCGCCGGGATGGCGCACCCTTCTTTTGCCTGCTCTCGATTATTCCCCTTAGAGACAGCTCGGGACAGCTCGTCTACTTTATTGGCGCCCAAGTCAATGTATCTGGCGAGCTCGCATCGGCTAAAGGTCTCGATTTCCTAGTGGGAGGAGGCGATGTCCCGCCCAGTGAGCTACAATCTAGAGTCCACAGTGGCTATGAAGCTTCTCCAAGCATGCTTCGACACTTTGACGCTCAGCAGGACCCGAACCGCCCCAGTCCTGCATCTCTAGCAGACGACGACAGCGGGGCATGGGGTGCTCCCAGAGTGAACAGGAAGCTGGCCGCCGGATCTTACGAGCCCACTTTGAGAATGGGCCCAGGTCCAAGCCCAAAGATTGACGGGCCTCTGTTCGATGCGAACGCGGCCGGTGGAGGACGCAAAGGGCAAGGGTTTGTTGGCAAATGGCTGACCCGCGGCAAGAGAAGCGACTCGTCTTCGGAGGGGTCAAGTCACCCTGCTCCCCGTAGAGACCGCGAGCGCGGACAGCTACTTACTGGTGCCGAAGGCCAGATGCGAAGTGGTGCACACTCTCTGAGTGACCAGATGGGTACGTCATCGTGGTGCAGTCAAGCGCATCGCCCTCTTTGTGCTGACGCGAAGGGCATTCCTTTGCTTTGCAGGGTATTTCACCGAGCTGTACGGCAAGATGCTCATCTTCAAAAGATCGAAAAGAGAGATCATCTTTGCCACTCGCGAGCTGCTCGAGCTCGCAGGTCTTCCGACAGGATCTTGGCGCGATGTCTACGACTCTACCTTGATTCACGCCGATCTCCTCTCTTTGATTCAAGGAAGCGAAAAGAGCGAGACGCGCGCCATCCGCACCGCTGTGCAAGAGGCTGTACGCAACGGCACACACATCAGCTTGCACGTCATTCTGCGCGCAACCTCTCGAAGAGGTCGTTTGCTCGGGGGCTTGAAGGAGCTCAGCGGATCAGACGTCCCTCGCTCAACCACCGTCCACATTGCACCCCTGAAAGATCGCGACAACAGCTCCTTTGCCTTTGTAGCCGTCTTTGCCTAAACCGCACTCGCTCCCAAGACGCGTTGCTGCTTACTTGTGTACAGTAGACGAGACGATCCATTTCGATTCTGCCTCTCCCTGTGATTGATCCCTCAAGTTTCGTTGCGACGTCAACCAGCCACCGTACTCCCGACTGCACCTTGTCTCCTTGCTTCTTGATGCTGCTGCAGAGATCAATGCTGATTCTCGCTCCTCAAATCTTATGATCATTGTTGCTAAATGTGGAGCCAGGAAGAGCACGCGCAAGTCGAAAAGCGGGCGCTTTGGCTGCAGGTCAAAGCTATGTCAGCCGGTCGGTCACAATGGTACTCACGACTCGGGCGGGTGAAGCGGCGTCTACGAGTGTTGGCTGGCGGCTGAGGCTTGTATCGCACGGAGGCACACTCCCGAGCGTCTGCCTGCACCTGAGCCTTCCTTACCTGCACACGTTGACCCTGTCAGCAAGGCGTGTCATAGTCTCGAGCAAGCGACTGCACCAGTCGTGAGTGTCCACACACTCGTGATGATCGACTCGTGACTCGTGACTCTTGACTCTGACTGTTCTTGCGCTCTCGGACACACGCTTAGCGCGAGGCGATTCATGCGGAGAAACACGCCATTTTTCTTTTCTTTCCCCGCAAAAGTGGAGCGCTTCCACGCTAACACAGCCGGCGCACCCTTCCCGAAGACAATCACGATGCGCCTGCTGCAGAAGCTTTGCGGGAACCCCGCCATCACCACATCAAGTCGTGAGTGATGCATGCTCGCTTGCAATCACCTCTGCTGACTGAAATGCCTTTGCTGCGGGCAGAGGCTACATCATACCACTCTTCCGCGGATCTGTGGACCAGAAGCATGCACTCATTTGCATTCGCGACGCACGCATCGAGCTAGCCATGTCCGATAATGAGGTGATAAATAGGAAGAGGGAGCGAGCATGACAAGGGGCGAGTCTTCCGGCTCATGCTCCTGGCGGGACCTCGTGTGAAGGAGCTAGGAGAGAGCGGGACAACCGGAAAAATTGCATTCGGTGGGACAGTGAGCTGCTCCTGTGTGTATGCCCCTCACGCTGCCGAAGTGACACCTCCCAGATGGGCTCATCACGCAGCGCTGCTTGTTCAACACCTTCTCTCACTCACTCCTTCTGGCTCGACCTTCCCTCGCTGCACTCCCTTCCTCTCGGTAACGGACACCTTACTTCTCCAACTTTCTCCCTTCCCTTAATCCCTTCATCCCTCATCCCTCATCCCCCCCCCCCCTTTCCCTCCACATTTGCTTCATTCCCTCATCCCTTACAGTACGTGGCAAACATGCTTTTCCCCCAGCTCACCTCGTCGTGGGCGGTGGTCGCTTTGACTTGCGCTTCCTCGGTGCGAGCACTGGCATTTCCAAAGAGTTCCATGAAGCAGCCAAGTCTTGACCCTTTCTACAAGGTACCCATCAACATCAGCGCTTACAAAGTCGGCGAGATCATCCGAGAGCGTCCTGTCGATACCATTGCTGCTGGAGCAAAGAGCGCTTATCAGATCCTGTACCGCACCAACACCGCCCTCGACAACGCAGATGCTACCGTCGCGACGGTCTGGGCACCTTCGAAGTTGGCTCCTGGACCTCCCAAGATTGTCTCATTCCAGGCTCCAGAGGATTCGGCTGCCTTTGACTGCGCACCTTCCTTTTCCGTCATCAAAGACTCTCCTTCCAATTCTTCGGGCGACACCTACGGCTTCTACATCGACGCCAGCTTGTTCAACGGCTGGTACGTCGTGCAGCCAGACTTTGAAGGCTCTCTCTCTGCCTACATCGTCGGCAAGAGCCAAGCATACGGCGTTCTAGACGGTATTCGGGCAATTTTGAAGCACAAACCGACCATTCCCGATGCGACTGGCGCTCAAACCGTTCTAGCTGGCTACTCTGGCGGTGGCCACGCGTCAGCGTATGCCGGACAATACAAGCGTGCCTATGCGCCAGAGCTCAACATCATTGGTAGCGCTTCAGGAGGCACGCCAGTCGATCTCAAGCTGATCCTGACCAACCTGAACAAGACTCCTTTTGCCGGGTACGCCATCGCAGCGCTGGCGGCGTTCGTCAAGACTTTCCCTGACGTCAATCAGTACCTGCGTTCCATTCTCAATGACCAAGGAAAGCAGGCCATCGAATTCCTGCAATCTTACGCCTGCGTTCCTCAAGAACTTCTTCGCTTTGCTTTCGTCGATTACTATACCTACTTGACTGTTCCCTATCAGCAAGCTCTCGCTGAACCCGTCGTTGTCAAGGCTCTGGAAGAAAACTTCCTCGGCAAAGGTCCTGGCGCAGTAGTGACCGACTTTCCTCGATACCTGGTGAGCTCGATGCTGTTCCTATCATAAGCACGCAGACGTTGCCCTGACCCCTTGCTGCTCGTCTGCAGTATCACGGTGTCCTAGACGAGGTCATCCCTCAAGCACCTGTTGCTCAATACGTCAAGGACCAATGCGCAGCTGGATCCAAAGTGCGATACCACACTGATCTCATCGCAGGCCACGTGCTCGAGGGTATCGAGGGCTTCCTGCCCTCCTTCCAGTTCATCAAAGACACCTTTGATGGCAAGACTAAGAATATGGAGTGTACGGAAGAGCACAACATTGTCTCGCTCTTGCCAAATCTCTACAACGACTACGCCACCAAATTGGTCGGCAAGGCCGCCCTGAACAAAGTCAAAGCCTTGAATGGGAAGACCATCGCTGGTGAAAGCATCCACTTCTAGTTGTCTCTGTGTTCTTAGCGACTCAATACATTGCCACAATCTTCGTCTTCGTCAACACCGTCCTTATCAAATTTTGATCTGCACTTGCAGCAGTTCCTCTTCGCTAGACATATCTGCAATGCAAGTCGCTGCGAATCTTGAGCTAGGGAAAGACTTTTCCTTAGTCTAGAATGTGTCTGAGGGTCATGCGATGAACTTGTTGTGCGTTGCTGTAGCTACTAGCCTGCCATTGGCATTGGTACCTTTGTCATACGCAGTCAGCCGAACGGCGATAAAGGCAATCGACCTGCCTACTTTGTCTGCCCGGCCTTCTATACGAAGATCTTGTCTGAAGAGACAAGGATCGGTAGCACGGTAGTCAAGTCAGCAGAGAAGCCGTGATGCTATCTTGCCCTGGAAGCCTCGTACTTACCCAGCTTTTGCCGCTCCAATATAAGAGATGTGAATGTCAAGCGAGACCCCGCGTTTGGCTTGGAGGGGTGAAGACGAAGCGGCAGCGATGACCAACCCACCGATCCAATCCACCAGCGTGGCAGTGACCGACCCGTGCAAGATGGCCTTGCTGTTGCTGTGCCTGTCTGTCAGCGGCAAGAGGGCAGTGACACCGCCAGAGGATGCTTGCTCGATCTGCACCTGTCCGTTTGGGGTCATGCGGCCAATTGTAAAGTGCACTCAGTTTCGATCTCACCTGCTCTGCGTTAGCTTTCGCACTTTCAAAGGGCTCACTTCCTGCAGCACAAATCCATAAATGGGAGAGCTTGCTACGATTTGCGAGCTTAGCTGTTTCGGTGAACATGGGATAAAAGGTCGAGGAAGAAGGGCTCGTCAATTTCGTTGCCTTTTTGCGCCAAGATGAGAAGGGGCAAGCCAGCGTAGATGCAGGCAAACCCTCCTCACCTGCTCGATGGAGGCTACCAGCTCGTCCGCCTTGGGCCCGCTCCGTTCTTCGCTCATTATTTGCCTTCGACCTTTGAGCAAGCGATAGGGATAATGGTGCTGATAGCGCTCAACTGCCTTGCTCTAGCTTTGCTCTTGACGACTTGGCTATCGCAAGAGTCAAGAGTGTCATGCAATCACCGCTCGCCCTAGTGACTCCAAGCTTTTGGTTATCGTGAGGCATGCAGTCCAAAGTCCAGTCGCAAGTCGAGGATTGATGAGAGAGCCAAGAATTTCAATCGCAATTGCAATTGCACCTGAATCTTGATTGAATGATCTTGACTTTAATTTCAACGCATGCGGTACCGGTAGGTATAGCAAGGGTCGCGCACGGTGATGCACGCGTGTAGCTGCGCATCCGCCGAGAACGCGTGTTTGCATGTGGAGGATTAGACTCACACCGCCAGGAACGCGCGTCTGCAGGCGGCGCCGCCCCGAGAACGCAGCATAAGCAGCAGCAGCCGCCGTGCACGCGCGCACGCGCCATATATACCGTATATATGTGATGGGCGTGCTGCAGCGCAAAGGACGGCAAGGCGAGTAGGTACGTGAGCATTCACGATTAGCGTAATTGTGACTCCGCTCCATCATGCCCCCCGGTGTCGCCGGTAATTACACCACGATGGACGCATTTCAGCCGACGAGTCCCCAGGAACAGTAGTCGCGAGTGTCAATCCTACGACTCGCCAGTCCACGTCCCGACGCTCGATACGTGATTCTAGCCGCGTAGCCTTTACCTTCACTCGTGAATGCCGCAAGCGCTCGCGCCCTAGCCAATGCTGCACAACATCTGAGATACACTCTCTCTACCGACCACTTTCTTAGGGTTTTCATCCAAGATGGATCCGTCTGCGTCCACGATACCTCTCTTGGTATTCCCTTGCAATACCACAGCCATCCATTCGTCGCAGCTGAGGCAGGATGGAAACTTGGCGATAGCAGGCCCCAGCAGCAACCCCTCGCCCCACCCTGCAGCAGCCTTGCTGCATCAGCAACACTTTCCCTACAAGCAGTTGATGGGTCAGTGGGCTATCGTAGGCTCATCACTACCACTCTGGAAAGGCAAGGCCAACGTCATTTGTCGATATACTCCAGAGTCACCTCTGCCAGATACCGCACCGTTGCCCACTCGATTGGTCAGAGCGACGCACCCTCCACCTTCTACGCGCACCGCTTCCGTCGTCGAGCCTAGGACTTCGCCAGTCCTACAAGCACCCTCGGATATGGCCGATCAAGTGCGATTCTACGATGAGATATATTACGACGCTTTGGACGAGGATGGAAGGATACTGGAAGGCAAAGGGCTAGAAAGGGGAGGAGCGACGCATATATCCGGGCGTAACACAATGGATGCCAAAGGGCGGAACGGTGAGTTCAATCTGGATCAAGCATCAAGCCTCTCTGCGCTTAAGTTTGGGCGTGGCGCTCACTGGTGATCTTCTGATTGGTGGAAGGTGCTTCATTCCACTGGAGAGGGTTTTGGTGGCTCAAGCCTTTCACAAGCAGATGGCAAGTGCTGGGGTTCAGTCGAAATTTCGTAGGAGTCGAAGCTCCGTCGAACGAGCCGGAATGGATCATTGTGCGTGTGTGGCATCAGTGCGGTATCTGATGCGTGTCCAGCCCAGCCTTCGCTGATGTTGCCTCCATCTCTGGTACGACGGCGTTCTGTTCGCCAGACCTACTTCAGCGCGACCCTCTTCACTCCTGCCGGAGTGGATGTGTGAGCGCTCGCAGATGCTGAACCCTGGTAATGGGAATGACGCGAGGCTGACCCAGAACGGCAATCTCACCTTTGCTGCACGTTTGCTGTCTAGATATGCTCGAGAGGCAAGTTCGCTGAGCGACGAGACCTTGGACGACATCATTCAAGCCATGAGGCAGGGAGGGCTTGTCGCACCTCATCAAGAACCATGGGAAGAGAATCTATCCGAAGCATCGGCAGAGGACCGAGCTGTGCTTCGGCGGCTGGCTGGTCAGGTCTTCAGGATACCCCACACAAGGCCTACGCGGCCTCCTTTGTGAAAATTGGCCTACACTGACTTGGCGTGATTCATGCTGCCCATTGACTCCTCTTGATTTCAAATTTCTCGGGTCGAATTCTGTACACTATGCTCCTGACGATCGAGACTCCATCAACACCCGAGCCAGTAATGCCTCGCAAACATGCATGACTTGGCAGCTTTTGCCTCATGAGCAGTCGTGAGTGTGCCTTCTCATCAGTCGAGAGCGTCTGTGTCTTCAACCCTCGCCAGCCTCTTTCCGACCAGCCATACATCTAGCTATGCAGATTAGGAATTTGCTATTCATATTCACATTCTGGTTACATTGATTGTGATGTACGATACACATTCACGATTAGCAAGGCTTTAGCGGATCTTAGATTCAATTCACGAAGGCGTTAATTGACGCGAGTGCCACGTGACTTGCCTCCCTCGTCTTTCTGGCGCACCGGCATTTGATTCTTGCATGGGCCGGGAGTGCTGCGCACTTCATGAAGCGATCAGCTCAGCACTCACGACGGCAACTCTCGCTACTCAACCACAGCCTCAGCAGCGCGTATTCTTGCTGAAAGGAACCACATGTAGCGGAATCATCAAGACATGTGAGCTGACTCGACTGTTCCGCAGCAAAGACTCCACTCGAAACAGCATGACTTCAAGCGTCGACGCCTCTTGACCCCCTGAAGCATGTCGGCAGGCTCGAGCAATCAATCGGGTTGAGAGGGGCCTCATCGTGGCATGACTTTCAACTTGTTGAGACTCTCTTGGAACTGGGTTTTGCAGCGACGTAGTTCTGTTCGTGCTTCATCTTCAATCCGGCAATGTCTGCGCCATTCGGTGCTCTGCCTACGGGCTCACTGATCATCAAGGCTTCCTGCGATGAGAGGCTCAAGAGGCTGGCATTTGGCCCCCCGCTCGAGGCCCTCAGACATGTAGAAGTGAGGGAACGCGTGGCGGAAATTTTGCAGCTGGACGATGCTACACCTTTCGCAGTATGCTGGAACGACGACGATGGCGAGACGGTGCGTTGTCCGAGATACGGTTTGCCGGTATTGAGGGTTCAATTCAGCTAAGTTCTTTTGCCCCACATACCCTCCGCCCCCGTCTCCTGAACTGCCCTCTAGTGCGAGATCGAGTCAGATGCCGATCTGCGAGAAGCTCTCATCTATCACGCCCCTTCAGATCCTGCAAGGTTACACGAGACGGTAACCATGCGCGTCGTGGTCCGCATCGACGCCGCCATCGACTTCAGCGACTTCAGCAGCAACTCTTCAGCTTTTGCCGCACCGAGGAGTACGCGATCTGCGGTGCGTCTGCACCTCTAGCTCCGACGACTCTATACTAAGCTGAATTGTACGACTTTCTTCCTCGTCTGCGCAGAGCCTAGCAGGAAGCTTCTATCGCCCGCCTCCTCCACCTTCGCCGCCTTCATTCTTTGCAAATAGCGAGGCAGACGTGGATGAGGACGAAGCCAGAAGCGCGTGGGCTAGTACATCAGCGGGGAGTATCGCAAACAAAGCCTCTTCTACGTCATCGGCGTCAGATTGGAGCTACGTCGACCAAGACCGCGAGGAGCGAGATTCTTCGTCTCTCGCTAGCTGGTCTCGCGACGGCGCGTCCACAGACTATGCGCTTCAAAGCGGTTCATCCAATGACAGTGCGATCGATGTCCTGGAGGCGACTTGGGAAAGGGCGCGAAACGGACGAGCGCAGCCGCCTGGCCCGACATCTAATGGTCTGGACCTGTTGAGCTGGCGAAATGCGCTGCCTTCGCGCTCCAGGTCATCGTCATCTTCATCGGGCTCGGACGCGACGGAAGCCGGTCGTTCTCCGCGCTCCAACATTGCTGCGCTCGATGCCTTGAGGTTGCAGTCTCGTGCCCTGGCTCAAAGCGCAGGGCAAGCACCACACCTCGGAGTCACATGTTCGACGTGTGGAATCCAGCCAATCAGAGGACCTAGATTTCATTGCACCGAGTGCCCCGAAGGTGTAGATCTCGTAAGTTGATCTGTTTGAAAAACTCTTCGACGACCGTCTTATACTCCCCCCTTCTGCAGTGCACGCCTTGCGAGGCAGCTTCCCAATTCACTAGTGCAGCCGGTCACTCTGCCTCGCATGCTATGCTCAAAGTTCAAACGCCAATCAGCTCTGTTAGTGTAGCTTCGGCGCTTGGCACTGCACTGATGTCTACCCAACAGCGATTGTACGCCGAAGCAGCCTCTGCGGGAGTGCGTGGAGCCCCTCCAGCCTTTCAGCAGAGCTTCGACGCAGCAGGCAACGAGCTGCGCGTGCCGGGAGAGTGGAACAGTGCGAATTTCGCACGCGACACGTCAGCTACGTGCGATTACTGCAATGGCAATCTGGAAGATGTGCGCTTTCTGTGCGCAAATTGTCCCCTCCAGATCAATAACGGCGAAGGTTACAATCTTTGTCAGACTTGCGAGAGACACTCATTACAGGTCGGTTTGAGGCGCTTCTGCACAATTCGAAGTTCGAGACTCTGAGCTGAATGCGCTACTTTTCATGCATGCATCACCAGTGCCATGACCCAGCTCATTTCTTCTTGAAGATAAGGATACCTAGAGGACAGCCTGCGCAACTCAGGCTCGATGCTCACATGCACGATTTCCGAGAAGCCCTCTTGCCGATGCTGTACAAGGATTTGGTCGGGGACGAGTCCGCGTCCTCTGCAGGCAGTAGCAGTGGTGCGAGCAACACGATTTTGAACTACAGAATGGCTCGAGAACTTTTTGCTCGGGGGCAGAGAGACGCTCCATCTGCCAATGCGCAAGCAGCCTGGCCCAATGCATCTTCTTCGACGACGCTAGTGCCATTTGGACAGCGTCAATTGCCCGACTTGCCCGGCTCAATCCGGGCTCGCATAGGCCACTGGGGAAGACAGCTTCGAGACGAGTATGAACTTCGTCAACTCGTCCCGGCCGGCTTTGGGTCGACAAATTCTCCTGGAGATGCTGCAATGGCCACAAAGAGGCAAAATTTGGTCCCCGTCGAGAGTTTGGTGCACCCTTCGACGATGTGCGATGGCTGTTACGAGGTGATTTCTGGTGAGGCAAGATGCAAAGCCTGTTTCCTATTCTCCGCTCGCTAGGCTGACGCTCCACATCTATCGCATGCATTTTGGGCCTGTAGGACCCTGGTTGCGATGCTGCAACTGCCCAGCAAGCTACGACGTTTGCGAAGCCTGCGAGGCTAGGCTGGGCCATAATCCTAGGCACGCCTTTGCCGTCTTCAAGCAACCTCTGGATTTGGACTTGTTTAGATCGGCAGTAGATATGGAGGACAACAGAGCTAATCGACCTCTGCTTCCCTTTCTCCTCACTTGATGCCATTGCTCTCATTTGTACTTTACAACATTCCTCCCTTCTCCATCAAAGTCTGCCTTCTCGGCTGCACAACCGTTTCCTTTCCTGCCTAAAGTCACGCTGATGGCTCGTTCGCTATCGTTGCCGCACTTGCTCGCTGCGCTTTCAAGCCTTATAGCACTCGAGCCACGACAGGTCTCTTCATTCCTCATCTTGATCGATGATGGAAAGGGTCGCCCCGTCCTTTGACATCCGTCAGCATTCATCCAAGCATCAAAGCCGCTTTACAAGCGGCGACCAGCTTGTTCCGCTCCTGGCGCAGCGGCACGAGCAGCAAGGATAAGTTCGATGACCTCATCTACGCCTTGGCCCAGACGAATGCTGGTGAAGAGGGTGGGTCCACCGTCGCGCATCTTTGCTGCGTCCCTAGCCATCACGTCCAAAGATGCACCCACGTGCTCTGCGAGGTCGATCTTGTTGATGATGAGCAGGTCGGACTGCGAAATGCCTATCGAAGGGGAAAAGAAAAAAAAAAAAAAAAAAAAAAAAAAAAAAAAAAAAAAAAAAAAAAAAAAAAAAAAAAAAAAAA